GTGACAGGTTGCTACAATACACCAACTTTTGGTGTCTTAAAAATCACTAAAAATGCAGAGAGAGTCACTTACTGGTTTTGTTGCTTGTATGTCTCAAACAGTGGTCTGCAGCTCAGCAGTCATTGCCTAGGTGACACACAATCCACCATCCCCTCCACCTCCTGGTGACAAAGTCAGCTCCTATACTACATCACTTTAGAGACATTGATATGATACGTATGAAATATACAAATGTAGCATATTTGTGGTTTGCAGAAATGCAAAACACCATTTTTCATGCTTTCATTTTTTGGGTGCACTGCTCTACTAAATGCCACTTGATAGAACAGTATATTTGGGACCACATAGAGCATGAGTTCTATATATATGCTATATATGCTATATATACGATCACATGTGGGGTTCCTCAAGGGTCCATTCTCGGACCACTTCTATTCAACATCTATATGCTACCCCTAGCCCAGATTATGGAACATCACAACATCTCCTATCATACGTATGCCGACAACACACAACTCTATATCTCAGTGTCATCACACGACTACAATCCCTTACTCTCATTGAGTAACTGTATTCATCAAATCAATGACTGGATGTGCCAGAATTTTCTCCAGCTAAATCCAGAAAAGACAGAGGTATTAATTTTTGGCCCTAGAAATGAAAGTGCAAAGATCAGTGCCCACCTTGGCTCTATGTCATTGACAGCTACAAATCAAGCCAGAAATCTTGGTGTTATTATTGACTCAGACCTGAACTTCAACAGCCATTTAAAGTTTATTACTAAATCTGCCTATTACCACCTGAAAAATATAGCTATAATTAAGGGGTTTCTGTCTAAACAAGACATGGAAAAACTTATTCATGCATTCATTTTTAGTAGGTTGGATTATTGCAATGCTTATTTACAGGCCTTAACAAAAATCAATCAGACAGCTGCAGCTGATTCAGAACGCTGCCGCCAGAGTCCTTACAAACACCAGGAAACTGGACCATATTACACCGGTCATTAAATCGCTACACTGGCTTCCTGTGAGTCAAAGAATAGATTTTAAAATCTTACTGCTGGTCTACAAAGCCCTAAATGGTCTCGGACCAAAATACATGCTTGATCTACTGGTTCCCTACGAAGCATCCAGACCCCTTAGGTCATCTTGAACAGGTTTGTTGTGTGTTCCAAGAACAAGAACCAAGCAAGGTGAGGCAGCATTCAGTTATTATGCTCCTCACCTGTGGAACAAACTTCCTGTAGATCTGAGGTCTGCTCAAACTGTCAGCTCCTTTAAATCAGGGCTAAAAACACTATTGTTTACTGAAGCGTACTCTTAGATTAAATACTTACCTGCTGTATTCTACTGCCCATACTTTTTAACTACACAGTGCTGATTTATGCCTTTTATTATTCTGCTTCTTTTCTTATCCTGACTGTTCAATTATTGAGCCTGTTTTTATTTTATGTTACTGTATTTTATTATTATCACTATCATTCTCATTTTCTATTTCCTTTTTTAATTGACTGTTTTTATTGTTTTAAATTGTGTCTTGTTGCTTTTAATGTCTCTGTAAAGCACTTTGAATTACCTTGTGTTGAACTGTGCTATACAAATAAACTTGCCTTGCCTTGCCTTGCCTTGCCTTGCCTATATACAATTCATGCTGTTTTTGGGGAAATATTCCTGTAAGTGTTGGACTGACATGCCATCCCTACCGTCTTTGTATTTGTGTGTGGACATGTATTACTCATGTTTGGGGACATGAATCCGTTTACACAGTCAAATTGTGGTGACTCACCTTCACTTTGGCAACGAAACACAAGTCCCTCTAACATCAATCATGAAATTTTAGGGAGAAGACTTGGGTTATGGTTCGGGTAAGTCTCCAGGAAATGAATGGAAGTCAATGTAATGTCCGCTGATGTGAAGGAAATATGACTCTGTGTGCGTGTGTGTGTGTGTGTGTGTGTGTGTCTAGTAGGAGAGGGGACTGATGGCATTTCAGGGAGCGGTGAGTCAGGCTGACCAACAAACACCCGCTCAGTTCATATGGATTGGAGAGAAAGCAGGCGCGTTGAGATTGCCTCGGTTTGCGAATTATGTGTGTGCGTGTGTGTGTGTGTGTGTGTGTGTGAGAGAGAGAGAAAGAGAGAGAGAGAGTATGTGTGTGTGGTTTATACTGTGTGTGTGGTAGATATTAAACCCACAACAAATGGCCTAAGGGCCAGTGGGGGCTGCTGAGATTGCTTCCATCAGAAAAAAAAAAAACGTGTGTTTCTGCATGAGAGAGAGGGTGTGTGTGTGTGTGTGTGTGTGTGTGTACATGCATGAGAAACTGTGATTTTAGATGGGATGTGTGTTGTTACAGGATGGAAGGGGGGACAAAATGATGAGTAGATAAAAAGAGACTGTAATATTATCATGTAATAGAGTGATAGTGGATGATGGCTGGATAACTAAGACTTAAAAAGGGCAGAGGAACAAAAACAAAGGCAGAGATAAAGAAAGAGGAAAAAAGGACGTAAGGAGGATAGAAGAGAATTCAACTGCTAAATCTTATAATTTAATGTGGGATCATGGAGGGTAGATAAAAGAGGGCTGAGGGAAAGAACATCTGAAGAGTGAAATAAGAAAGAGGTAAAGAGGAGAGGAGGAGTGACAGAGGACAGTGGAGAAGAGAGGAGGAAAACAACAGATGGAGAATGAACTCCTGGAGACAGAGTCAAGAATGGAAGAAAACAGAAAGAGAAATCTGCTGGATCACAGGAGGCTGTTTCTCCAAACCGTCACTTTTCTGGTGACAGGGTGGAAAGGACAGAGTGGAAGACAGATTGGAAATTACTTTCAACATACTATTTATTTACTGAGGGACAGGAAATGGTTGGGCTGATGTCTAATTCAGAGAAACAAACAAATACAATACTGCAGGTGTGAGACAGTGGTTACTGTCTGAATTTCTTTATTGTTATTGTTTTGACCTGTATATGATATTTTATTGTAGATACTGCATTTTAAAAAAGTAAGTGTCATATTGATAATTGATAACAAGAGAAGGCGTGTCTTTAAACGGAGCGAGTCCCAGCCCATGCCTTAGTCAGGGTTTATATTTGGGCTTTGAACCAACGATGTACCTACAGTGTTGGCTCTGTACTCATACCCTACACCATCGACTGAAGTGCACCCTACCTAGAAATGTGACTACACATTGCGGAGCACACCTCCTGTTTGTTTTTGTAAACTAAAACCTTTTTCCTCAGTGGAAACAAAGCTTTTATTTACCTTTATTTTACTGATAGCAAACAAATTGTGAAGACAAGTCTTGCATGAGACTTATCCTGGCTTTATATGAGTAAACTCCACGGATAAATCAGTTTGCTGCTAGGCTAATTCATGCAGAGGAAAATGTCATGGGCTAATGCTAATAATGTTAGCATGTTGTGTATGTGGGGAAAAGGTGTTTTGTTTCATTTTCAAAAGTGTTTTGTCAGTGAACCTTGTGAGTTATAATAAAGCTGGATTTTGTAATGTTACCTTTGTTTAATGTTGCTGTTGTTCCTGGATTCACATGAGTAGAAAAAAAGTCAGCTAGCTGCTAAGCTAATTTACACAATGCAGAATGTCATAGGCTGTAGTACATGTGGTGAAAACGTGTCTTGCAAAATCGTTTTGTCTGTAAACCTTGTGAGTTAAAATGCGTGAGTTGAATTTTTACTTTTGTTCAAAGTTGTCACTTTTAAGCCATGTTTTATGTGTGTTAGGTGTAATTTGAATCAATTGACTTAACAGAAAGTCAACACAGAGTGGCGACCGTCGTGTTGGAGGGTGATATTGCAGAGCAATGCAGACACACTACCGCACATTTATAATTGCTCACAACACAGGCCACTGCACAGATTTCGGCATAGAGCCTACTTAGAATTCCAATGTTGTGTTCACACCAAACAAGATAAGGAATTTTTGCGTTGTGTTACTCGTGAGTTTGAAAGCTACAATATTTTGCGCTGACTTGCTTCATACATGCAAATAACTCGCGTGAAATTGCTTAATTGATGAACGAACTTAGCCTGTACATCCTCAGTGTCTTACGTCCCTGGAGGATCTCAATGCTGATTCGCTATCACGGTGCAAATTGGTCACTGAAGTTCAGATTTTTCAACACTCGCAAATAAGAGTATGACGCGAAATAGCATTACTCGTTACGCTCGTGTGGCTTAATTTGTGCATTGTGTGTCATTTGCATTGTGTCCATTGCGTCTATTGTGCCGCTTCGCGCCTTTTCATTGACTTTACATGTAATTCACTTGTGCAAATTGTTTTATTCACACCAAGTGCGAACTCATCATAAATCATCATACTCCTGAAGAGTATTGCATTATGGGTCTGTTCATAGACTACTGTGTAGTATTTAGAATTAGTCAGCGCTAAATGTGTTGAGGAAGCTGCGGCAATTAAAAATATGGGAGTTTATGACAGCCCAGGTCTTTTTTCCAAACAGATACTGTAGAAAGGGTTAATAAACATCATCTAATGATTATGGTTGTTTAATATTTAGGCCAATTCAGCACTACTTAATGCTTTGATCCATATTACTGTCGTAGAAAAATGCAGGAGACTGAAACAAGGTTTTAAATATGCAAACAAATGACTTTTGTTCTCAAGAAACAACTACAGCTGCACCTATCTCTGTTATCTGTATCTAGAGAATAACATCTGATAATGGGCATTTACACCTAGTATAAAGACAATTTCCTGTTAACTCAGTTGTAACTCGCATTGTGACAGTCAATCTGAAGGAAGTGCAATATTCAAAAGGAGCTGAACTTCAAATACTGACACAGATTGATGCAGAACCTTGTGATACAGAAAAGATCATCTTCTGTCATGTTTCTGTGTTGCTGTTTGTAAAATGAATCCAAAGCTTGTATGTGCAAGGTCACACAGGACATGCAAACCACAGGCACAAATGACTTGTTCAGCCTGTTTTGTTAAACAGTGAAAGAAGCCGCTCACCTAGACATAGTCTGTGTCACACTCCATCCATTGAACTAGACAGAATTCACAGAGATAAAAAAAAGAAAAGAAATGGCTCATAAATTGTGTGAAGGGGAGAAAATCTTCCAGAGCTTTGATAGATACCCCGTGATAGGGTATACATCACACTTTGAGAGTGAAATTGGTAACAGAAATATCACAAGATAGAGAGAAAAGCTATGGCGGAGGATAACAGACAAAACAAAGTGACCTTGAACTCAGATATGAAAGGAGAGGAGAAGAGAAGGAAGGCATCAAAACAAAACAACTCATTAAAATCAAACAAATGACTACAGGGAGGGAGGGAGGGAGACACTGAGAGGGAAACAAAACTTGTTTGTATTGAGAGGAAGAGGCAACAGGAAGTAATAGAGAGAATGTGTTTGCCCATGGTAGTGAAAGAAAGTGAGACGGGGACACAGTAATAATGGGTGATACAGTGAAAAAGCCTCTGTTCATTTTCACTGATAAATTAATTCTGAGCAGAGCCACAGTCAGGGTTCTCCCGAGAGGATGAGTCAAAATGTGAAGAAGTCGTATCAAACAATCTATGCATCATATCAAAGTTTCTAAAGTCACACATTATATGAACTGAATTTGTCATGAGGAGGTGGAGGGGATGGGTGGATGGTGAGACACCTGCCAAGCTGCAGACCACTGACAGACCAACAAACAACAAAACTGGTGTGACTTTGGGAGTCAGTGCTGTGTTTCCAGTGGCTAATGAGCCCCCAAACATGGGTGCTTTTTTTAGCACCCATGACTGTGTTTCCAGCAGGGACAGTGCCACGAAAAAAGGTTGTATTTTACTGGGACATCGCTGCATTTAGGATAGTGACACCAAAACCAAAACATAACTTTTTCCTAATGATCACCAAGGGTTTTTTCGTGCCTAAACCACACATACATAACAATAGCATCAGTGACGCAAAGTTTCAAAGTATCTGCTACATAATGATGTAAAGGAAAATGTATCCGTGGTTTGCAGAAATGTACAATGCCAACATTTTTTAAGGTTACTGGTTAGTTTTTCCCGTGATTGGTTAGATTTATGTTCTCCCTCCTGATGAAGCACATTTCTGTCTGTGAACACCAGACCATAACTGTCATAGCATCGACTGGGAGTCAGTAGACAGATGGAGAAAGAACCATGAGATAAGATTAAAGGCTAAAAAAACACCCTAACAAATGTACATTGCAGCTTGAATTATTTTGTTGCATTCACATGTTTTTTTGTAAAGGACAGAGACACTTTTTCAGGTGTCTTGATGCCTTTTAGGGTGTCAAAGGTCATCACCCTCATTTGGAAAAACACACTAAACCATATGAATGAACACTGCAGAGGTCAGATTAACTAGTCGGAGCATTTGCCTCATGATTTTGTTGAAAGTCCTATATTAATTTAACAGTAATACAACCAAAGCTTTACCCCAGATCAATCTGATGTTTCACTTTGCCTCTAAAGTGACATAGTATATAAACTGACTTTATCATCCAGACATGGAGGGGATGGTGGATGGTGTGACACCTGCCAAGCTGCAGCACCAACAAACAACAAAACTGGTTGTGTTTTAGTGAGTCATTGCTGTGTTTCTGGCATCTTTTTAGCCACCAAACATGGGTAATTTGTTGCAACCCGTCACTGTTTTTCCAGCAGGGCCACTTTTCCAGTATGGAAAGTGGTTGTATTTTACCAAGACAGTGCGGATTATGCCCCAAAAACTGGGTGTTTTAAGCCAAACATGGTCTTTCCCTGACTATAAGGTTTTTGTGCAGAAACCTAACCACACATTAACCACAGCTTTGTTGAACGCTACTTAATAACCTGCAAATGTAATGTGTTGGTGGTTTGTTGAAATGTAAAATGCCAACATTTTATCTGGTGATTGTGTTGCCATGATATCATGTGTTCACTATACTATGGTTTTATAAAAATGCTCTTTTACCTATGGATAATGTAGTAACTACATGAAAGGCAGCTGTCTTTATTAATTTTTACAGGCCGTGTTAACACAAAACAAATCTTTACCAGTTAAATCTGTGCGTGTATATGTTCTTTGCACAGTGTGATTTAATAGTGAGTGCCTATTCCATTCAACCTGAGGTAGCAGCATTGCGCTCTTGAAACACCCAGGCATGTGAGAACTTCTCTGTGTGTCTTATCCAGGTGAGTGACTGTTCATTAAAGCATGTTTTTAATGGGAGAGTGTTCAGTTGGTGCTCAGCCATGCAGGCTCAATGAACTTTGTCCGCATGGTTTACTAAAGCAGCCCGCTGCCTCTCAGCTCCTGTCTGTTTTCGGATTTCAATTTCAAACAAACTTCAAATGAAACTCTCTCTCTCTTGCTCTCTGCCCCACCTGCCTCATCGCTCTGGCTGCACCACTGCGTAGCATATTTAACTGAATTCATTCCTCATGGCAGCAGCAGCAAAAAAAAAAAAATAAAATTAAAATATGCAAGTTACACGTCTGTGAGCACACTAAAGGTCCCACCAGCAGTCCAGACCCCTACACCGACTCTTGCAGGTGTTGGGCTGAAATGAAATCTGCACCTGAGGTGAAAGGGTTGGAGTTATCAGCTAACTATAAATAATTAGGTAAAATGTGTGCTACTTAAATATCTGAATATCTTCTCTAAATTGGCAGGATTCATTGTAGATTGTCACTACTGCTCTTGCATATCAGCCTAGTCACCAGAAGCCATAAATACATTATGTCTACATGCTTGATACATACAACATTTCTTAAGTGACATAGTATATGAGCTGACTCGGTCATCAGGAAGTGGAGGGGATGATGGATGGTGTGTCACCCAGGCAAGACAGCTGCCATGCTGCAGCACACTGTTCAAGACCAAGAAACAACAAAACTGATTTGGTTTTATTGAGTCATTGCTGTGTTTCCAGAGGCTTATTAGGCACCAGACATTGGTGTTTTTTGGCAGCCTGTTACTGTTTTTCCACGGAGGATAGTGCAACAAATAGCAGTTGTTTTTTATTGAGATATCAACAGCTGCTCCAGCTGTGCTTGTGCCTCCAAAACCATTTTTTAAGCCCAAACATTGTATTTTCTAACCATAACAAGTGGTTTTGAGCCTACACCTAACCATGTGTTAACCACAGCATTGCTGAAACATAAAGTTTCAACTTATCCACTACATAATAACGTACAAATGTAATGTATCAGTGGTTTGCAGAAATGTACAAATCCAACAGTTTTCCTGGTGATTGGATTGTGCATATTACAGGTTGTCCCCCCACCCTCACCCTGTACTTGTCCTCAGCAGCTACTCACCAATAACAGGAGCCGCTCCTCGGAGTAAAGTGGAGTTTGGCTCCAGGCACCAGCAACAAAAGAAATAAAAAAAGGGGGAGGGAGGTGGAGTATTGGTTTGGGCTCAGAGATTGGTGAGTTGTGGGTGTGACTGACAGTTTCTTGTGTGTTATTGGGAGATGGCATCATCGTCATGGGTGGGATTTAAGTCCACTACAGTCGTCCCTCGAAGAGAAGCTCCTCCCATCCCTTCCGCCGACGATGATGGCTGGGAGTTTTTATTAACACCTCCACCTAGAAGACAACAAGATGGAGGCAGATTATTAGGTGAAAATGGCAAAGAGGAGTGACATATTTTCTTCTCCTCGTCTATTTTTCCAGCTGTTACCCTGCCCTGCAGAGGAGGAGGACGGAGGCACAGCGAGGACGTTGGCTCCCCCTCCCCCTCCTCCGTTGGTCTGGGAGCAGACGTTAGCATGGCGTGCGGCAGCTTTCTGTTTGTAGTGGTTACTGTGCAGCTTGTACTTCATCAGAAGGATGAAGATGAAGACTAGGACAGAGGCCACGATGATCCCCCCGATGATGATGATCATGGTACCTCCCAGGAACTGAAGAAAGAGATCAAAAACAAGCAGAGAGTTAGCTGGGTGTGCAGATCCTATGATTAATAAACCACGCTTTTTGCTTAGTGTTTCACTGGGTTGGACCTCTCCTTTCACTGAGATGATTTATCTACATCAAAAAAAGGAATATAGACTCAAACCAAAAGAAACACTTTTTACCTTCATTGAAAGCTTTAAACTGGCTAATTAGTTGAGATATCAATTTCTTCCTTGACCTTGGAAACAAACTTTTAAGTCAACCTGTACAAAATGTCTTTGAATTGCTCAAAATAAATTTAAATATCTGCAATTTCAGACTGTATGATACAATCAAAAACTCCATAACATACTGACTGGATCTTGAGGTGCAGTTGTTTAGACTGATTACTTGTTTTCTAAAATAACTGATAATAACTTCATATTTTTTCATATTTTATATATTTTTGCTTTTGAGTTGTCACATAACAGTATGGTTCTATCAGTGGGTCTGTTGATCCAAGAAGCTTCTTGGGAATTACTTATAGAAAACTGAAATAGACAAAATGAGACAAATTCCACTAGAATTACCGCCCCATGGTTGTAGGCGCCGTGATGGAAAAATTCTGGTATTTAACCATATTTAACCTACAATGTGTTCTGCATGTGTTGTATACCCATGTTCTAAGGTTACTTGTTTTGATGAAACTGAACTTCTCACCCAATGATATGTGTTGTTCATTTAACCCCTACTGTGACAGCAGTGTAACATACAGCAGGGGCCAAATGGAAGCATGTTAAAGGTTACGAGCCAGGGAGGCTCCAACAACAAGTGTCCTTGTGGGCCTCAAGAGATATTGTGTCTTAGGGATGCTTATTGCAGAACCACATGTGTGCTATATATTTATATATTATATATTACTATTGACATGCATGTGTTTTGGGAACTATAAAGATCGCATAGCTAAAGAACATCTAGGCACCCACTCACTGACTGACTGTTCATGCGGTTGTATGTGTGAGACTCCATTCATGAATGCTTATTAAAACAACTAAAAGTTGTTTTGCCACCACAGCACTCGCACACCGGTTGAGTTTTTTTTAGTTTGTGTGAAGCATCCATGTTTGTGAAAACATGGATGCTTCACACAAATCATCACCCCCAGCAGTGCAGAAGATCTATACAGTCAGTGTTTTAAGGTGGACACCCAAGATAAGTGTCACAAATACAGTATCTGACCAAATGTCTCCCCTTATGTTCCTAAGATACGATGTGGAGGAATGGCCAGAAAAGTGTTTTATGCAGAATATTATCATGTCACACTGAAGTTAACTGTTAGCCTTCAGATATAAAATTGTATCACTGCATCGTTTTATCCTTTTAGACATTTATGAGAAGTTTTGTTATAACCATAAGAATGATTGAGTTATAGCCAAATATGTTTTGTGATGTCATACTGACCTCTGATCTTTGAACGAACACCAAAATCGAATCAGCTCATCGTTGAGTCCAAGTGGACGTTTGTGCCAAATTTGAGGTATCATGTTCACAAGAATGAGGCAAATACAAAGTCATGGTGACCTTTACCTTTAACCTATGACCACTAAAATCTAATCAGTTCATCACAGACTCCAAGGGGATATTTGCGCCATATATTTTAAGAAACCTCCCCATTGCTTTCTTGAGATACCATGTTCATGAGAACGGGATGGACAGACAGACGGGCAACCCAAAAACGCAGAGCCTCCGACTACTGCAGTTGCCAGCGTAGAGGGACAGAAACAGTGCCCTCTGCAAGGGACCATTATTTATTTAAGTTTGTGCAAACAAGGGAAGTATATGGCTACTACACAAAAAACTGAAAGACAACTTTGGGTGGTATTTCCTCTAAAAAACTGCTACAATGCTACTGACTGAAAATTAAAAAAAAAAACTATTTAAAATTAATATTTCTTTCATCACTGGTAAGTTTATTTTCTATATATGGAAAACTGTATACTTGTCTGTTATTTACAAACTGCACAGAAAGGCACCAATTTTATTCTTGTAAGTGACACACTCTGGAAGCTATGCCGTAAAAAAATTGGAATTTGCTAATTAAACACTGTCTCCATTTTCTCCATAATTAGGACCAGATTACAAAGACACTCTGCGGTTCAGCTTCATACATTGTCAGACTGATAGAGCTGTAACTGTGCAGTTTAACACACTCACCTGATCTCGTATCGAGTGACAGCGTCCGTACTCTGTCTCGGTGCTGAAGGACACGCAGCCCACCAGCTTGGTGCCTGTAAGGGCGGTGATGCCGTCGTCATAGACGGCCAAAACGCACAGCTCGTAGTCCCGCGATGATGCCAGGTCGCTCAGTAGGAAGTATTTGTGGTTGGCTGGGATCATCCTGAATGAGGAGATGACAGAGACAAAGATATTTGAGCTTATTTTGTGGAAACAATAATTATTTCAGCTTTAGATCCTTACTGACAACAACAACAACAACAACAACAACAACAACAGGAGTACAGAAGTGTCATTCACAATCTCAAAGAGCATGACATTGTTTCATTACTAAACACTGTCAGCAGGTTTTCTTTAATGCAATCATAGCGTTTTTGTCACTTGTGTTTTGTTGGCAATTACAAGAAGTCCAGCACTGACAAACAACAGTCACATGATGCCTAAGAAGCTTCTTCACTGGGCTGAGCTGCATAGTTAGCTGAGTATGGTACTCTTTACTCCTCTTCATAGGTATTCATATCAGTTAGAGAAGAAACAGCTAAATGTGAGTGGCGTTTCATATGTATCATATCAACATATCAAGAAGCAATAAACAATCTACCTATCATATCAAAGTTTCTAAAGTGACGTAGTATAAGAACTGACTTTGGAGGGGATGTTGGACAATATGACACTTAGGTGAGACACCTGCTAAGCTGCAGACCACTGCAGTTTCCTGTTCAGGACCAATAACCAACAAAACCTGCTGTTTTTTAGAGATCTGTTGCTGTTTCCTGATCATAATTGAACATGATCCTTTCCTAACTACATGGTTACATCTTAGATGTCTTGTTGTATGCACATGCTGTTTTGTAAAGGACAGAGACACTTTTTCAGTTGTCTTGGTGCTTTTTTGGGAGTCAAAGGTCATTGCTCTCATTTGGATAAACACACTAAACCACAGGAATAAACACTATAGAGGTCAGATTAAGCAGTCTCAACATTCTTAATTTTCTGTATAAAAGTTTCTTGAAAGTTTTATATTAATGATACAGTAATTATAGACAGGAAGCTTTACCCCAAATCATTTTTTATTTTTTACTGTGACTGATGATTATTCTGTGCTGGAGGAGGCTAGGGGAGGGTTGCTGCTGTGTATTGAACCAGATGAATGAAAAAACTGAATTCAGATACAAATGGACTCTGTCGCCATGAAATGTCCAAGTAATTTCTTCCTCATGCAATAACTTTAAGAATAACAAAACTCTGGAAAACCTATTTTACAAAACTATTTCTCATATCATTGTTGTGCTGGATGGGTTGTTTTCCTCCATTGTTATCTCAACTATCAGACAATACCACAACTTTTCCCTGTTACTGGCTGTGGGGAATTGAATCTCACAACCCTAGCGGTCTCAGAGCCATGCTCTAACAATTCAGCTACACAGAGACTTAAACCTGGAACCATGCCAACAGCAAATACATTTTTGCCAGCTTGTCCCATATATAAATTAAGTTTTTTGGGTGAGTCCAGGTAAAGTCTTTCGAGGCAAACTTGAAGTTTACATCCAAGTCCTTCAATTCACTGACTGTAACTATTAAAATATGCTCTTCTAGTGCCAAGGCCTGATAATAAAACAGGCAAGGTTGAAGCCATGTCGGGTCTCAAGTTTCAAAAATGACATGGTATGTCTCAAGGGGTTCATCATTTAGCTATACAGTAAGTCTCACAGTAGTCACTTCACTTTTATGACTTAAAGGGTAACTTTGGTATTTTTCAACCTGGACATTATTTTCCCATGTTTTTGTGTCTAAGTGATTGATCATGGGAGCAGTTTTGAAACTGGTCCAGTATTGAGCGAGACAGCTGCAAAACAGGCTGCAATGTAGACCCTGCAGGCAATTGATCCTTGTCAATTAATGTCAACTAAAAGTGATTGTTTTCATCACTGACAGGCTCAGATTGTTATTATAAGTGCCTGACGACAATATGGAAATGAGCCCTACAGAGAAAGACCTTATTGTTACAGAGTAAGATCCTTTTTAACAGCCCCGAAATCGCTACTATCAAATCCACTAGCTTCTGTTTAAATAAACAGTCATTTTATCATTGCAAAATAAACTTCATTCAAAGTCAAGATAAAAAAAACACACTTACACTTGCTTGATATCAGACATTAAGCTAGCAAATAAAAACAAATTGTTTTGAATCTGATTCCATCCATCCACATAAAGTTTACTACACTTTCAAACAAGGTGGGAGTATGCAGGGGAGGGACTACCAAGCCCACTTAGGAGATCGGAAGTGTATACCATTTTCTACCACTGACACAACTTGTAATGCGTTACGTTTTGTTACAGAGTATTTTTGGTAAAACTCACAGACACCATCTTGGTTTGTCCTTACAGTGTTTTAAAAAAATACCAACTCTGGTTTGGTTGAAACAAACCCTGAATTTAGCCAATCAAATGTGAAAATATGCTGGCTCTATACACACTTAAATTACTGTTTATTTAAATGGAGTCTGGTGGGTTTGGCAATAGCTTTCTTCTTTGTTTCTGGTTAAACAAAAAGGATCTTACACTTTTACAAAAATGTCTATCTCTGTAGGGATCTTCTCCACGTTGCCAGACATGTACAATAATGTTCTAAACCCGTCAGTCACAAAAACAAGCACTTTAAGTGGATGTACTTTGACGGTGAAAAAGTGCCCAGAGAGATTACACTGCCGCCATTTTCGCAACTGGTGTCCACATCTGTCACCATGGGCCACTGCCCAAGAAGCGCTTTGTGATGGACTGGGACTGAGACAAGGGTGGAATAAAAGTTGCATCTCAGCAGAGCAAAATTTCATAGACCATGTGCACTGTTAGAATCAGAAATGCATTTTTAAATGACATGCACAAAGATTACCCAAAAGATCATACTTATAAAATGGATGTTACATTTTGGTATTTAATGGTATTTTAGTTAATCTTTCTCTCTCTATTATCCAGAGTTTATTTACATTTTGTCATTTCTTGAGTGTCACTCAAGTTTCATTTTATTCTACTTGAAGTGGTGATTTTTATATCAGATTTTGCACGTCAGTATATTTTATATTTTAACCTTTAAACTACATGTGCTGCAGCAAAGTGAAGATCTATCTGTTTGCCTTCTGTCTCGGTTTGTCTCTATCTAATCAGGACCGCACATTTACATGTTTAGACTCTTGTATTGATGTGGTAGCCTTGCTGGTTGTAATGAGTTGCGTTCCAGTTGTCCTGGAGACAAACAGAAGCAGAGATCCAACACAACAAAGAGAAGAGCAGAGGAGTTTTCCTATAATACAAAAGATTGAAGTTGAAGGAGAAAATTGAAGTGGAGAGAGTATACACAGAGAAGGAAAGACAGGCAGAGCAGAAGAGAAGCGGGAATGGAGAAGGATGTAACACTTCAAAGGGTACAAGGTAGAGTGAGATTAAAGACAGAAAGGAGGCGAGGAAGACAGCGGTGAAAAGAGGAAATACGGAGAAACAGAGGACAGACAAAGGAGAAGACACAGAGGAGAAGTGATGGGAGAGAGGCAACAAGGTGAGACAGAAAAGAGAAAAGATAGAGAAGGAGGTGAGAGTGAAAATAAAGAAATGTCACTGTGGAGGATGTGGAGAAATGAGAGGAAGATGAGACACAACAGAAATAACAGAAACAAGAGAGATGAAAAGACGAGAATATAAAAACTTTACATTTTTCAGTTTGGGGTCAGAAGCTGACAGTGATGCAGAGAGCAGCGTTCTTTTACAGTCAACACTGTACTAGACAGATGATAGAAATCTATTGACCTAAAGCAGCCCACCCATTTCTCCATTCCCTCCATTTCAACTTCTGTCTTTCTGCTATAGCCTGCTATAGTCAATACAAGTCAAAAGTTCCTGTCCTGGTCGGTTCACACAGACTACACCTCTCAAAGCTGGAAACACGCATTCATATTTATTGCAGGCTCACGACCTGACACTGTGACACCCAATACATTCTCACTCCCAACTCGTCACATATTGCCGCTTGGTCAGTGGATTTTCACGTCAACATATTACATGTTAGGTATCCTGGGTGTGTCTGTAGTTAACGTTCTCGGACTTTGTGTCAGTTTACACCTGTTATATGCACAGGGTCTTTTCAAAATACACCTCCGTTTTCACAGGACATGTACAGTGTCAGCCTGTTGTCATTCCGAAGTCACCATTTTGTTACTGATTTCGGTGTCAGACACCTGATGCCCAAAGCCACCTTTCACAGCAGTATGATATGACACAGGGTGGCATCAGTTTGTAACATGGCTGGACGTAACCTTTCGCATTGTTATGATATGCCTTGGTCGGTACCTGTACCTGCCAATATAATATGAGGATGGGCGGCGTCAGTTCATAACGCAGCCAGATGGCACCTGTCGCGGCGGTACGATATGCCATTGGATGGTGTCAGGTTGAAACACTGCCGGTAACAATGAAATATAAGGAGCTGGAAAGTCCTTATAGGATGGGTGGGAGAGACGGTGAATGGGTCAAACAAATCCTTGGCTTTCACCCAGGAGCCTGGTGTTCACTTCTTGTATGAATGTAGAGCAAAATCATGGTTTTTGTCTAAACCTAACCATGTGCTTTGTTGATGTCCTGGCATTGTTAGTGGCATCCCAGAATGTAAACAGCAGACACAGGAGGATACCTAAGTGCATAACATGTAGACGTGAAAAGCCACTGACAAAGCGGCAATGTGTGACAACTTGGGATGAGAATGTGTAGGCAGTCAAAAATTATTTCCATTTATGTCACTGTGCAACAAACGCACAAGGTTAGGTTTAGAAAAAAACATCATAGTTTGGCTCTACATTCATACAGGAAACGAACACCGGTCTCCTGGGTCAAAGTGCAGGGTGGTCGAGCCATTCACCACCCCTCCTAACTGCCCTATAGGGACTTATCAGGTCCTTCAATTATTGTTTTGTTTCATTGTTGTCAGGCGGCATTTCAAACTGATGCCATCCGGTAGCATTATTAACTGCCACCTCCCTAGAGTTTGTCATAAATCTGTGAAAACATGCTTATTTTTCACTGGAAACAGATGATCAAGCTGCAGTATTTGACAACTTCAGAATGAGACTAGATTGTTACATCCACTGCTGATATCAGAATAAAAGATGTTCTTCG